GACAGAGTACACTTCACTCCCTCGTCCAAGTCACTGATGAAGACATTGAAGAGTATCGGTCCAAGGACCGAGCCCTGAGGGACCCCACTGCCCACGTCCTTGCAGGTCGATACCGACCCATCCACCACCACTCTCTGGGTACAACCCTCTAGCCAATTCACCACCCACCGGACTGTGTAGGCATCCAAGTCACAGCCTCTTAATTTGCTCACCAGTGTGGGGTGGGATACCGTATCGAAGGCCTTCCTGAAGTCTAAGTAAACAATATCTACCCCTACTCCTGCGTCCAGGTGTTTTGTAACCTGGTCATAAAAAGAGACTAGATTAGTCAGGCATGATCTACCTGCTACGAACCTGTGCTGGTTTCCCCTCAGCATAATATTTCCTGGTGGGCTCTCACATATATGAGCCTTAATAATCTTTTCAAAGACTTTACATAGGATGGAGGTGAGACTGACTGGCCTATAGTTGCCTGGATCCTCCTTCCTCCCCTTCTTGAAAATGGGCACCACATTGGCCCTTTTCCAGTCCTCCGGGACCTGGCCCGTGCACCACGAGTGCTCAAATATTCTTGCCAGTGGCTGTGCAATGACATCAGCCAGTGCCTTCAGTACCCTCGGATGGAGCTCATCCGGGCCTGCCAACTTAAACGCATCCAGTCCTTCCAAGTGACTCTGCAACATTTATTAGACTACTGCACTGTAGCATCACTAAAAAGGCATGTGCCAGCACTACTACACAGTAACACTGGTTATTGCTCATTAATTTAGTACTTGATTATACAAGTACTAAATTTAATGTGCAGTAACTACCGCACATAAATGAACATGTAGACGTGCCCAGGGAGTGTGTCATGCTCTGGATGCCTCCTGATCCATTTCTGCCTGCTGTAATCCTCCTCCTTTCTGCAGCAAATAAAACATTCACACTGGCACTGCTTTTGCTATGCCCACCCCTGCCATCCATGATCTTCACCCAGTGAAAAAGGGACATCCGAGTATAAGCTGTACAAAACAAACTACTTGGAGTCTTTAATAGGTATCCATCAGCATGGTATATAATCATTGAGCTTAATTTATTGAGATGCCCAAGTCAGCTGGATTTTTGTCCCTATTAAACAGAATTGCCAATTACAAAAATAGGCCATTTCAATAGTAATACTGCTTTCTGGGAAGCTGCCAAGTTGGAAGGAGGCACTATTTACAGTAGGACACAGACAAAACCTGCTGCCTACATGGTGCCAGCAATAGAGGCAGCTGTGAGATGTCTATCTTAGCAGACTATTGTGTACAGCTGATACGAAAATAAGAACCAAGAAGTGATGAAGCCGGTCTCATGGCTAAGGAGACACTGAGCACTGTTGGCAGATTTTAAAAAAGTACAGAACCCAAACTATAATAAGACGCAAAGCCCTAAGCACCAGAAAATCATTTTGCAGGCCCCAACAAACACAGTCACGATTGCCATTAGGCTAGAGTCACTGCCAATAATTGTCACAAAAGTTCAACTAGATCCACTGAGAGAAATCCCAGTTAAACAAATTTCCTGATTACACATGTATAGATTAGGGAAAATAGACTTTTCAGCTTCTCCTTCTGCCATTCCTATTGACCTTCACATTGGCTTAGCAAGTGAAATAACAGTACCACCGGCAAAAGTGATGGTAGCAGTACTAAATGACAATACACAGAGCAACAAGAAGGGGAATAGCATAAAAAGCAGCAGTAATAATAAACCAGGGGTTGACAAGAGCAGCAAAGACCAGACCAGTCATTCCTGTCCTGGAAGTACTATTGCTGTTGCTGGTTTTATCCACAGGCTGGTGGTAGGGTTTGTAGTAGCACTAAATGTCATTTGTTTCCATCCTACGGTATGAAAGCAATGCCCTCCAGACATCCAAAACATCTGCTGCTTCTGCTGCTGCTCTGCATCTACCATTCTCATGGTGAAGATGGAGAAAGTTATGGCAGCTGTGGTAGGCATAGTCCAAATAGTTCTAGCATCTGGTTGTTTGAATATGGCCTCTTTGGACTTTAATTTGTGAAACTATATGGATAAAAATTAAGCCCAACAGCCAACAGCAGAAGCAGGAGGTAGAACTGCCTCTCTACAACTACTGAGCATTCAAACTGTAGGAAGCATAACAATAGAGGATGAACTAAAGCTCTGAATAATAGCCTAATCTGGTTTCACTGTTACAACTGTGACTTGGTTTTTGTATCGTTAGTTGTCAGAACTGTATATGCATTGTGTGTGTGCACATATACATTTACAACACAGACTGCAGAAAGAGGCCTACTTATATATGTGCATTTGAACACATCCACCATTTGTATGCATCCCCTATCTAGACCTCTAGTGTGTAAAGCTAAGTACCATGTCAGATTTGTGACTATGTAAACTTCACAACTGTCAAAAATTCTATTCAGAATTTAAGGGGCAACTCTATGCATTCTGCTCAAAAACCAAAAACAGGATATTATCTATCAGAAACTAGGTTAAGCTGTGCTTCTTCCATGCATGGCCCATCACTAAGGTACCTGAGGAACCACATACACACCAGCCAGTTCTTTACAAAATATTCTAAACTAGATGCCACAAGACAAGAGAAACAACCTGATTTTACAATTTGTTGTAAAAATACCGTCTTATAGATTTACAAATTGTCAAAAGTACTTATGGCACTACACCTACACTACAAACTTGTGGATTATTATCCCTAACTTGTTTAACTCTGAAACATTCTCTGTTTACAGTGTAAGTCTTCCTTTTCTTCTTTGTTATATAAATAACAAGAGTTGAAGCTGCTAAGTTCCTCAATTCTTCCTTGTGTGCCAAGCATTTCCTTTTCCAACTTAAAAACAAAAGCAATTTTTGAGTGCTTATAAAACAATATATAACAGACAGAAGGCACGGCAGTGACACCTTATAGGCTACCTAATTATAGACTAAAATAGACTGAAATAGTTAAGTCTATAATGTGCCACTCTGCCTTGCCATCCCACTGACTTCAGACTGAAATAGCTAACTGTGTGTATATATGTGTATGTATATATGTGTGTGTGTGTGTGTGTATGTATGCACACACACCCGCATACACTAATACTTTGTTCTTGCTCCTATTTCACCTCCTGAATAATACAATAAAGATGGCAAACTCCAGAATTTAAGCTAAGTCTACTTTCGATATCTTCTGTTAGTCCAGTCCAGCTGCCAAAGAATTTGACAGGAATTTTGCCACAGATTTCAGCGAAGACAACCGCACCCCCGTCAATGAACAGAGATGTTTGGTGCCTCGGATCTCAACTGCACCTACTTCCCTGACCGTCCAAAGAAGCGATCTGCTGCAAGCCCAACACAGGCAGGCATTCGGTCTCTCACATTCACCCTGCTGCAAGCAAACCTGCATAATAGCATCGCAGCATCCGTGACCACAAAACACAGCAGGGAATGAACTTACACCTTCAGTCAGTCCTCGGGGCACCAACCCAGCAATGGCAGCACCCCCACGGGGACTTTCCTTGACTTTCGGGGCTAGGCAACCTCCTGCTTCCCTAGGGCTCGGCGATCCCCTCCGAGCAGGGGCCAACCTGGTGCTGAGAGTCGCCATGCCCCTTGACCCCTCTGCCCCCGAGGTCACACGCGCACCCTTCCTGTGCCTGACAAGGTCCCAGAAGCCAGGCCTTGCATGCAGCAGGTCGCCGCAGCTTCCAGTGACCATGCGCGGGAGCAATGCGGCCGGGGGCTGGGGGTGAAGGGGGCGGGGGAGAGCCGCCGGCCCAGCTGTCACTCACGTTCCTGTTGAAGGAGTTCCCGGGCAGAAGCGGCAGCGCCATGCTCGCCCCAGCCCTGGCCCCGAGGGGCCCGCTGCTGTCGCCCGAGCACCCCCACACCTGGCCCGGCGCGAGCTGTTTGGCATCCCGTTGCCTAGAGACCGGGGTGTGACGTCACAAAGGGAAGCCTCCGCGCCGCATCCCGTTGCCTAGAGCCCCGTTGTGACGTCACAGAGGGAGCCCGCGCGTCTGAGGGCGCCCCTGCTCTCTGCTGCCCCCTGCAGCTTCGCGGCCCCAGGCCTTGGTACCGCAGGCTCAGCTGCCGCTGACCCCTCTACTGACTCCGACCGGGGCAAATCTTGGGCTATTGGGCGCTGTTCCGACGGCTCCAGGTCCTGCAGGGGGAGCAGAGCAAGGGAGCAGCTGGGCTTGGGGAAGGGAGGGGGGTTGGAGAGAAGAGTCCCAGTCCTGGCCTTCCTGTAAAGGGTGAGTACATGGAGAGGTGGACTCCACTCCGGGGTGTCTAACAGCAGGGAGGCAAGTCAGTGAACCTCACCATGTCCACACGCGTGTGCACACTGTAGAGATAAGGGTTAGACCATTATTCACTGCAGGACCTAAACCATTACACACACAACACGCCTGCGCATGCTGCTTGCATTGAGGCAGTTTTGTGATTGGAGGGGGAAGGGATAAGTCACACGTAAGCGTGCGTGTGTGCACATGGACATGGTCAGGTGCATGTACGTGTGTTGTGTGTGTGTATACATGATCATGTGTGTATGTGCATCATGTGTGTAGGCATGCCACGTGTGAGTGCGTGTGCATGTCATGCAGTGTACATGCATCACGTGTGTGTACATGATCACCGGGGATCCTGGTTTTCTCTGATTAAAAAAAGATCCCCAATTTTTGGGTTAGAAAAAGCAACATTTTGCTGTGATCAAACTGAAACACCGCTATATATATGTCTATGGATTAGTGTTTTGGTTTGATCACAGAAATATGTGGATTTTGGGTTACTTCTTTAACCCAAAAATTGGGGATTTTTTAAAATCAGAGAAAACCAGGATCCCTGATGATCATGTGTGGATGTGCATCGTGTGTGTGTGAACACACATGTGCACACATGCATGTGCTTCTGAAAAAACTCACCATGCAGTTTTCATAAAACCCAGCTGTGAAAGACTCATGAATTCCTCCCTGGCTCTTCACAGTTCATGCTCCAGTTTTCCACACACCGCCTCTTCCATGACCTCATGCTTCATGGGGTGCTTGATGTCTCCTCTCCAGCCCCTCCCCACGCATGCTTAGCCCTGTTGTTCAAAACGGTTTACATCAAAAGTCAGACATGCAACTGACAGGACTGAGCAGGACAGGACCTGTCCTAAAGACTTTTCAGCTTCCTGCATGAAGGAATGTTTTAGGTGCTTGCATCTAAACATTTGTCGTGCATGCTGTCCCACATTTGGGCCTTGATAGGTTTCGGTGGAAGGATAGGCTTTTATGCGTTTTTGTGTGTGTTTTTGTACTTTAGTCAGTTGGGATAAGAAATCTAAGGAAACAGGCTTTGCCTTGTGGCTCCCAGACATGCACAGGGTCTCCATAGACTATGTACCAACACTAGCATTTCCAGGAGGGCAGGGAAATGTAAACATTGGAAGAAATAGTTTAATACACATTACAAGGGGAAAAAATAGAAGCATATGTTCTTCAAGAAAGGTTTTGGGGAATCACCCCTCCCCACCCTCAATCTTGAGCACAAATGGCAGAGGTATAGCTAGCTACTTCTTTGATGTCTCCTACAGCTGTCATGAGCAAGTACCATATCTGTATACCCAGACCATCAGCATTAGATCACCAGGTTGAGTAAATGGCTCACGAGAAACCTGGTCTCAACTTAACCACACTTCTTCCTCAGGAATCAGCCATGAAAGCAGCAACAAGATCAGTGCCATGTTTGTGTTTAATGTGTCTTCTTTAGACACAGGAGAAAATTGCTAAGGCCAAGCCTTCACTTTACCTCTGGAGTCCTGCCTTGAGCTTGGCTTCTGCTGTGCTCCCAGTTCAGGTCCTGTTTTTGCTTGCCTAAATTCCTGCTCCAAGTGTAGCTCTGAACTACCTATGCTCAAGCTCTGATAAGAGCATCTTCAAACCATATACCAGGAACCAGCAGTTGAATCACTGGCAACGCGTAGTGAGTGCATGCGAGTGCACGTGCACCCTCCTGAGCGTGGCGGTGCACCCTCTATGAAAAGGCGCCGCCAACACTGTCAGCAGCACCTGCAGGCAGTCACCGCTTGCCACCCCCTCACCGCTGACACCACCAGTGGCACCTGTGGGCAGTCAGCGATGCCTGCGGGCAGCCACTGCCACTGCCAGCAGCATCTGCAGGTAGTCACCAACCCCTGGTCAGTGCTTACCACCCCCACACCACTGACAGCACCAGCGGTGTCTGTGGGAGCTCCGTGCTTACCACCGCTCACTCCCGACGCTGCTGCTGCACTCCCGCCACAACTGTGTCCCCACAGGCACCAGGGGCACGTGTTGTTCATGAGTTGAATAGTCTCTCTGCTTCTGTGCCAAATCTGTTTGTCAGCAGAAAATTGGGTTTGTGACTAAAATATCTTTCCCCTAAAGCGTCTTCCCTCTATCAAAGATTTCAATCTTTAGATAAAAAACTGGATAACCAAATTCACAAAAGTTTTTATTTTATGGCCAATATTACAAACATTTTAAACAATATATTTTGATTCTAATATGACATTGTCTCCTAACGAGTGTAATTCAGTTGCTTCATATTGCTGCCTGTCCATGGCCAGGTGGACCCAGCAGTCATGAGACTCCTATAATTCATCATCTCTTCTTATCAGAAGCAAAGACTGTGGTATATCATAGAATCCTGCCTACAAAGGAAAATGTGAACAGGAGGAACCATGACAACATTTGCTAATTAAATTATTTCAGGTTTCATTCAATATATTTGCTTTTGGGGTTTTTTCCATTAAAAGTCAATATTTTTCATTTAAGACAAAGTTTGACACATTCTATGGGTGCTTTGTAATAGGGGGTCTACTAAATTAGCATACTCAGGAAACAAAACTTTCAATGTTGGTAGCTATCATTTGAAAAAGCAGGTCTCAAACACATTGACACAAAACATTTTGAAATGCTGATGTGCCAATATGTTCATGTTCTTTTTGTAATATTGAACCAACATGGCGGCTTCTTTAGATAAGGCCTACATGGAGCCAGTGTCAACAAATCATACTAAACTGATTGTTAGCCTGCCCGAGGGCAAGATAGCCACCATTAAAAGGAGGGCTCAGTTTTCATGTCTAATATATTTCACCATTAATTGATGGTAAGAAATTATTTCTATCCTTTGAATTCCTAAGAAAATTTAATGGGACTTCCATTTTAGCCTCTTCTGCTATAAACACTCCAGTACCACCTTATAAAAGAAAATCATAAGCAAAATAGCAATGTTTCACAATAATTGTTCATGGACATTTGTTGTTTTTACAAATAGGCTGTTTAAATGACATTATTATATTAATAAAATACCTTTAGTACTTCAGCTGTAAGAAAGAGTTGAAAAAGTATTGCACGGCTCATTCTAATTAGTTATATAAATCCAGGAAGATACAAAAAACTGAATGTGGCTCTTCTCATTTGCTTGATTTATTTTTCCTTCTCTATTTCCTGCCTCTATTAAAGCCCTATCAGATTCGACACAGATAAGTAGGAATTAACCCTCTCAAGTGTACTTTATTTTTTTTTCAATAATGTCCTTAAACTGATCATCTCAAATTGTCAGATTACAAAAATATTTTTAAATTATACAAAAATTGGTTCCTCTTTATGTTTTCATCTGTCATGAGCAATAAGAGACAGTTTTATACTATTATGAGGATCCTGTTATAAATCTTGAGTAAGTTGCAAGTGAGATTTTGAAAACTACACTTAGTACAATTAACATTCAGCAAAAACATGTTATTCGCTGTGGGCCATATGTTTCTCTTCCTGTATAAAGATGCACAGAACGGGTATCATGGAACTCCAAAGTTCCAGGACAGTTAAGAAGCCTAGACAGAGATGAAAGAGTACATTGCTACAAATTTGCACAAGAATACCTGGGGAAGAATTACACCTCCCATTTTTCCTAACACAGTTAAAGCCTACATGTGTAAAAAGCATGTATAAGAGTGACTGCTACTTGAGGTGTGTCTGAATAAACTGTGGCCCAGTTCACACCAAAGTTGATTGCTCCCAGGCACCGCATTTACATGTGCGCCCAGGACTGCTCTACTTTGAGCCAGGTTGGAGCAGATACAAGGGGTCAGCCTGCCAACCCAGGGCTGCTCCAACCTGACTCCATGTGCTGTGAAGGAGCTAGCTGGGGTACAAAGGTGCTCCAGTGTGAGGGTAGCCAGGAGGTTGCTCCCACACTGAAGCACCCTTGTGCCCTGGCCAGCCCTGTTAATTGTCTAATACATCCATTGCTGTGCAGAAAATAACTGCCACATGATAGTACTTGTGTTGACAAGTACTATAGCAATGTTTATTATTTTCCTGTGGCCACACGTGTAGACACAGAGTTTACTGTGGAGCTAATTAGGCAACTCCACAGTAAACGTCTCATGTAGATGTGCCTAGGGAGTAGCAGTAAATAAGGTAGCTAATGCATTTAATTACATCATTATAAAGTACTTTGCATTTCAAGGGAACATGCTACAGTGAACAGCGAGCCCCATGATTTTTTCCTGGACAAAAATCACCAAAATCTCCAGCTCCACAGTGACAGGGGAAAGATCATGTGGCCAGTTGCAGTGCTGGCCCACCCCTGTCTAGGGCAGTCCGCCCTGTCTTGTCTGCCACAACTTGCTGTTCAATAATACAAGATTGAATAAGTGGGAGGCTGCCCATTTAATGCTCCACTGCCATGGGGTCTACACACAAATCTGACCTACCCTTACCATGTCCCATGCCTCACAGATGGCATCTAAATTATTAGCAGCTCCGGCCAGAAGCTGGCCAAACTCTGCCCCTTGCTGGGCCTCTCATACATTACATATACACTCCGCCCCCTCTCACAGGGCTTCATTCATACTGCTGCCCCATACTGGGCCACTCCCAACCTGCCC